TCAAAGACCAATCAATATGCAATCAAAAGCTCCAATCACAATTAAAAAAAATCAGAATGCAATCAGAATGCAATCAGAATGCAATCAGAATGCAAACAGAATGCAATCAGAATGCAATCAGAAAGATTCAGAATGCAATCCGAATGAGATCAGAGAATGCCAATCAAAATGCCAATCAAAATGCCAATGAGAATGCCAATCAAAGACCAATCAAAGACCAATCAAAATCCAATCAAAAGATCCAAACGCAATCAAATTATCGGAATGCAATCGGAATGCAATCGGAATGCAATCGGAATGCAATCGGAATGCAATCAGAATGGAATCCAAACGCCAGGAGACATAATGGTTTGCATTGGGGTGAAAGGGCAAAGATAAACGGCTTACGCAGCTGGTTCAAAAGGAAATGAGCTAGCTCAAGGGGACATAAATTACACATAATGGATTTCATAAGCCAAAGCCGGGTAAGGCCCAGGTGTTTCAAACTGTATGAAGGGATGCTGGACCTGGTTTCCAGCAGGTGAAGCTCCCCGCTAACAGATCGGAGCCCTCAGGGCGGCCCTGTGAGGGAGTAGCGCTCTTACCGCCCTCCCTAGCAGCGCCCCCGGAGTTCATTCCAAAAAAAAAAAAAAAAAGATCAAAATGCAATCAGTAAACAAAATTTAATGAAAAAGTATTTTGGATGCCCCTCACAATCACAATGCAATCAAAATGCAATCAAAATGCAATCAAAATGCAATCAAAATGAGGTCAAAATGAAATCAAAGTGCAAACAAAAGGAGATTGCAATCAAATGCAAAACGCAATCAAACCTTTCGATTGACAGGAGGCATGCACTGCACCACGCACGTAAAGCAAACAGTGTAAAAAGACAACATCTCTCTCGATTACCTGGATTTATCGCGGCATCTATTTGCACACCGAGAAGCTCTGATGATCCATGTGTGTAGCTTGTTACCTAACCTACATCATCACCCACACACAGAGTAATCAAAACACATGCATACAAAACATAACACTACAGCGAATACACACACACACACACACACACACACACACACACACACACACACACACACACACACACACATCTGACTATCAATGAAAGAATCAAAGAGTCCATATCTTGGCGACCATAATCACGTGAGGGGAAAATCTGATGCTGCAGTGTACACAGTGGAGAGGCCATCAATTCACCACATTCATGAAGACACCCTTTGCCCTTTCCCAAAAGTGAACACACAGGGAATAGTAGAGTTCAGCATATATTCTGACTATGTAAACATACTTTGACTATGTAAACAAACACTAAACATATTTTGACGATGCAAACATATGTTGACTATGTTACTGATTTTATGGACAGACGAGTTTTTCTGACTCTGCAAACATATGTTAACTATGTTAATGATTTTACTTGACAGAAAAGTTTTTACTCACTGGATTATCAATTAGAATTGTAGAACCTATCTCTAATACTATAAAGCAAATAGAGGGTCTCGCGTGACGGTCCCACGCGAGCACCCGATGCCAGTGTTGGGAAGAGTCGAGACGGGCCCTGGGCCCATGGTAGGAGCGGGCGGTGAAACGGCGCCGCGGCCAAAGGGGTCGGGAGGGGTGGTAGGGAGCAGGCACGGAATTGACGAGCGGCCGGTGAAACGGCACGGTGGCCAAGCGGGCCGAAACGGCACGGCAGCGGGCGGGGAATCGACGAGCGGGCGGCACACGGGCAGGGAAAGCAAATGGGTCACGGGTAGGGAAAGCAAACGGGTCGGGAGCGGGCGGGGAGTTGACAGAGGTGTTTGTGTCGGGCGGGTGAGCGGGCGGGTGGGAAAGCGCGACCAAGTGATACATAAAGAACGAGGGAGAGTGAGAGAGGGAAAGAGACCGGGCGATGAACAAGGGAAGAGGTGTGTGTGTGTGTGTGTGTGTGTGTGCGAGTGTGTGTGTGTGTGTGTGCGAGAGAGAGAGAGAGAGAGAGAGAGAGAGAAAGAGAGAGAGAGAGAGAGAGAGAGAGAGAGAG